TTTATCTGCCCAGCTATATTTCCTTTGAAAAAGATACGGCAAGCGACAAGTTGTAATATTCAACTCTTACTAAATAAGAATATAGAAATGGAATATTGCAACATAGTATTACAAAACTTACGAGAAACATACTGGAAATCCTTAACTACGCCCGGAAATTGGATATATACTGCAAGAAAACGAGAAATAATTCGTATAGAATGCCAACAAAGCAACCAGGAAGAAATAAGTAATTCTGGCATTATTTCCATACGCCAAGGATGTAAAATTAAAGCAGGGACTACTACGATGAGCCATCCATCCGTTCATTCTATAGAATTCGTACAGCATTATACTCCTATGAACAATCTAAGCATTTTACAATTGTACGAGCCTATCCGCGAAAAATATCAAATCGACCTAGCAGAAGCGACAAGCGAATTATGGACGATGAATAATAGCCGCGTATCAACGACTTTTGATGACATCATTGAAAAGGCTCGCCAGATCAAGGATAGACGGATGCAAGAACAAAGACTTATCACCTACAGTGCAGTAGGATGGGGCATGAGTGTTCTCGGAATACTTGTGGTCATCGTCTGGATGATAAGCAGGACTTCTTGGATCAGCAGTACTGCGAATTTACTTTATGCACGATGCAACCGTAACAAAGGAACCAAGGGACCTACCCCTTGCTCCTCAGTAGAGAATAAAAGCCGAAGTACCGAGCCCGGATCCGAACAGTCTGACTTAAGAACGGCAACGATCCAGTATAGTCTACAAGAAGAAGCACAGGAAGCAGAGACACACTGACGACTTGAAGACGTACAGCAATAATTCGTAAGTGACCAAACCACATGACTTCGTACCAAAATTTAGTCTTTGGTTTGTGCTCACTTCACAGGATGAGAAGGAGCAGCTATTCCACCAATCATTATAAACGTTGGCACAGGATATTGGGACGACTCCGCCGGATTATTCTAACCATGCCGGGAATTGACGAAGATGTACCTATGGACCTCAGCGCAGCGCAGTCGTATCGGCGGTCGCCAATTCCAATGCAGCGAGGACCACCGGAGCGCGACACCAGATCTCCTGGCGTCGACGTCCATCCCAATATGGACCGCGACTGGCCTGGACCAACAGATCCTGAGGTCTTCGCCAGACCTCAGCGTCCGCCAACACCGGCGAACACCATCTACGAGGTGCCGCGAATGACAGTGGCATCCGTTGAAGCAGCCCTCACTCCTGGAATGGAGAATTTAATCGACGAGGTGCTTGACGAGATCAATCGAGAGTCTCCCGACGATGACAGCCTGGGAAGCGAGGTGACAGGCACCATCAGACTGCCTGATGTTACCAGACCTCCGCCTCGTTACGCCAACATCCCGGCAACGCAGACGAGCCACGAGTACGTGGCAATGGCATCTTCAACACGAGCAGAAGCATGCAGCAGCCGTGGGTCGCATTCTTTGAGCGGCCTGAGTACATCGCTAAGCAGCCCGCTTGCATTGGGAGGACAATGTGGATCATACGATCACCTGGGCGAACCTGCAAACCGACATCATTTAATAGGTGAGCGCCCTATGCTTCCCATACCGCAGGGCTCGCCACCCCCTCCTACACAACCACCACTATCAATACCGATTTATTACCGCGATTATTCAGATCCACTAGTACGACCGGCTTATGACTTCATATGTCATTCCGCATGGTATGCGCAAATCGCGGCCGAACTCGCGTTGTGTGCGGATTGTGCAACAAGCGAGCACACATTTTGCATTTATAACAGACCGAACGCCGTATGGCGACAGCTACACCTTATCTCGCGAACTTTCGTCCATACAACTCTACACTGTGGACGATGTTATAAGTTATTAATAAAAACTAAACGCGCGATTGATTGTCACGAGTGCCGTACTACTATAATAGATTTACGCGGACGTACCGAACACTTAACCTATCAAGTTTTATGTGAAGCGGTTATTCCACGAGGAACACGTTAAGCAATAAACGATACAAAACATTTGCTAAAAGATTTAATGCTACTATATCTTATATAACCTACATATTATACTTTTAAACATGCTTATCGATTATTTTGCGTTATATACTTATATTTAACTTTATAAATTACCACTTGATTTTCTTTTTAGTGTACTGCTTACAGGGAACTGTCTTATTATTTAGCACATTTATATTAGCGTTAGCATTACTCAAAATAATAAAGTAAACATTAGCGAGCGACCTTACTATAAGACTAATATTAACCTAATACTAACATTTTTATTATGTACATGGTGAAGGGATCGAAATAAAATATTAATTTTATACATTAACCTATGATTATACTTAATGAGCACGGTGGAGGACCTTAATTTCCTTAGAATAAGTACTTTGAAAATTAAATCGTAGCAATCAGTAGAATGTAATCTTAATTCTATATTAATAATTTTAACTTTAACATACATGCATAGAAAAGGGGAAAGAATACGCTGACACACGCATATAATAGAAAATAAAAAAAAAAAAAAAAAAACACATATATTTAGTCAACCTTAAAATGCA